TATCAGAATAATAAACATAGGATATATATTTTTGATATAATAAAAATTACTTAGCTTGAATAAGATGAAAGAGAAAGATATGCCTATATTTGTATACAATATTGACAAGACATCTAAAAAATCCTCAAAACAAATAAAAGGCAACAAATTTAGTCCAGATGCCCCATTCAGATTACTGGTATATGGCGGATTCAATAGTGGAAAAACTAACATGGTTATAAATCTCATGCTTGATAACAAACTACAACGCATGTTTAAAGGTAAGAAAGAAAATCGTTATATCAAAAACAATGATCTCGTATTAATAGGCAAGCATTTTGAGCCGAAATGGCAACTTGTACAAAATAGCTTTCAGATTTTTGTGAATGCACCTAAACTATATCGAGAAGATATCACATTTAAAAGGATATCTTCAGATAAAATTCCAGATATAACCAAATTCTTACCAGAGCAAAGTACAGTTGTTGTATTTGAGGATCTATGTGCTAAATCAAAAAAAGTACAAGAATGAATTATTCCTTATTTCATTAGTGGTCGACATCAAAATGTTTCACCTATATATGTGAGTCAGAAATATATACAAACACCTAAAATTATTCGTGAAAATATCTCACATTTATGCCTATTTCGGGGATCGGGTAGTAGAGACGATATTAGTAGAATCGTACATCAATATACAGATGATCCAAAAAAAGCATCCAAGATTATTGATAAGCATTTGCGGAATCAAGAATTCGTGGTTTTTGATTTTACCAAGGCAGTAGACGATCCACTTACTATTAGATTGGGTTGGGATACACCCTTAAATCTTATGTGATTTCAGATATTTTAGGAATTTTTCTGCTTCTTGCAATTCTATCTTCTTTTCTTCAACCTCATATCATAATTTTTTATTTTCATTAACCCGCTTTTTATGCTCTATATTAATTTCTCGCATAAATTTATCAAAAGTTTTTTCGTTGTATTCCAATAATCGTTGAAATAAAACATTGACCTCTTTCTTAACCCGGTGATTAATCTCATCCTCACATACGAAGCAAAAACACCTATGTGTCTGATTACATGAACAAATCGGAATAGTATCTTGGGTTTGGGATTCTTGGTTAATCATGTCTATATGTGTCTTAACACTAGCTTTGTTATTATAATTATATGATAAATTTTCAAGTGGATCTATAATTTGGATTTGTTTTTTATGCTTTCTATTTAATTCTTTTTTATATACCTCTAATATATGATACAAATAATTCTCAATTCGATTATATTTTTCAGAAATTTGCTCTGATGTGACAGGGGATCTAGAGTGGTATAAAAGCCTGTGGTATGCTCTCTTGACCAGACTTTTTAGAAGTTTTGCTGTAATGGGGTTGTAATCAGAATGAAACATTGATTATTAGTTTGCGCGCAAAAAGTTTGCATGCAAAAAATATGAAATATACATTGATAAAAAATCAAAGTAAAAAATGTTACCAGCTTTTCTTTAGGAAAGATAATGAAATAAAGTCTAAAGTACTAGCCCTTGGGAATACTTTAGGTTGTTTTATTTTAAATAGATATATATATGAATAAGTTATATAATTAATAAATCAAATAAATAGATTAAATCAAATAAATAAATATATGAATTGCTTTGCAGACACGGTCTATACATTGTTAATTTGATGCATCTCTTCTCGAATACTCCATAGGAGTTTATAATATTAAGCAAGTTCTGTAGCACACATACCTTCGGGTCTGTAGAAATACTCTAGCCATTTTTGTTGTATGATCTTTATAGCTTGAATTTTTCTCCCAACCTCTCTTGCACGTTTAACTCTTCTAACAGCATTCTGCATCTACAATTCATAATGACAAATTGCTTCTTTTTTGAAGTAGAAGTTACTAAGATTAGCTTCGAATCTACTTTTAAGTTCTATATAGTCTTTATAACTAATATCACAATAAGCATTTCCTGTGCAATTTGTACTCCAATGCTCATT